AGTTTTTCGCCATCGCCGCGAGCAGCAAGCCGCCCGCCGCAAACAGCCGGAGGCCTCGCCGCGGCACTGGCTGCGCCGCGGTCCCGCACCCGTCGACGCAGCTCCCCCCGCGGAAGACCGCGCGTAGCGACGTCTTGACGATCGAGATGAGCGTGCCTGAAGCTCGCCCACCTACTGCCCCTGAGAGTTGGTTATTGAGTGGGATCAGCTCCCCCCCTTGGGATCACAGCTTCCACGACCTCACACCCAACATCCCAGGCGGGATCTGAAGGGGACTCCACACCGGACACCGCCCGGGCACAGCCCCCCTACCCGTCGGATCGCACAGAGGGCCCCCTCGGAGCAGCCCACACACAATCACGCATCGGCAGATTGAGTGCCTGAGTCAGGCAGACAGCACAGACAAGAGGAGAGAGAGGAGAGAGAGAGAGAGAGAGAGAGGAGAGAGGAGAGGGTGAGGGTGTGAACACACGTGAGGAGTGGGGGAGGGTGTCTGTGGTGGGCTGTAGTCCTACTACGTGGTTACAACCACGCGCCCCTCAGGAGCTTAAGGAAGAGTGTTGGGTGTCAAAACACCGGGTCGGCGCCAGGCTTAGACAGCCTGTCGCACGACGGGGTGACTGCGAGGCAGTCCGAGCACGAACTAGTCGTCGATCCGCTGACGATCCCCGCCGCTTCACCGTCGGAGCGGCGGCGGGTGAGAGTTAGTCAAAGGTCCACCAGCACAGCCTCCAGCTACCAGCCTCCACCTCCACCCGCGAGCCGCCACCGCTGCCGCCCGCGACGCCGCCCGCCGCGTCAGATAGCCGCGACGCGCGCACCGAGTCGAGTCGGAGAGGCGCGCCGCACCAGCAGGAGCATCTGCACCACCAGCAGCAGCAGCAGCACCACCACCACCACCCGAGAGAGAAGCGCACCTGCCCGACGCCGCCCGCCGCGTCAGACGCTCGCGACGCGCGCGTCGAGCCCAGTCGCAGAGCCGCGCCGCGCCAGCAGCAGCATCTGCACCAGCAGCAGCAGCACCACCACCACCAGCAGCAACAGAGACAGGCAGTGCAGGCGCAGAAGCGCTCGCAGATCGGCGCGCAGCGCCGCGCACGCCACGCTGCGGACCGTCGGACGAGCGCACCGTACGTCGGCGGCGAGCCGCGTCGCCAGCCGTCTCGCGAGAGAGCGGCGCCGCCGCGTGCGCGCAGCAGCCGCCGCGGCAGAGGCGAGCCGCGGCGACGTCCGCACTAACGGATAACGGCCATTGGCGGTTTTCTCTCTCTCTCTCTCTCTCTCTCTCTCTCTCTCTCTTGGGTGGCGCGCCCCAGCTCTTCACAACGAACCTGGTTCCCGGCCGTCCAGAGAGTGCCCGGTGCCAGTGGCCGATCTGACGACGCGGTATGGGTGGACGCGTGTTGCGCAGCCCCAGCGCCAGCAGCACGCAGCCGCTTCTGCTGCCGCTCTGCCGGGCGCGGGCCGCGCACGCTCTTTTCCGCACCGCAGCCTTCTCCGTTCCCGCGGCCAGCGCTTCGCGACAGAAAATGCCACCGCCGCTGTCGCTGCCGTCATCGCGGAGACGGCTCTGCTCGGCGGCGACGGAGGCGCGGGTGCGACTGAACAACGCCTACTTTATGCTGGGCCTGGAGCCGGGCGCGACACGCAAGCAGGCGCGGCCAGACCGTTGGCTCTCTCCTTCTCCTCGCTGCCACGCACGCGTCATGAGCGCTGCGATCCAGTCTCCAGTCCCTCCTTCCCGAGAGACCGCGGCGCGGAAGATAGACTGTTGCGTGACCCCGCCCTGCCCGCCGCTCAGGTGAAGCTCGCCTATTACCGCCTCGCCAAGGAGACGCACCCGGACGTCATCGGCGGAGGCGCGGCCCTTCTTCCGAGACACCTCTCAGACACTCCGAGACACTTCCGAGACACCTCCGACACAATGCTCCCGAGACAACCCCTGCCGGCCGCTTTGAAGGGCCGGGGGGGGAGTGGGGCTATGTTCAGCAGACGGGCCACCATTGCTTGATCATTGACCACGTTGCTTGGTGAGCAGGCGCCGCCCGAAAGGCAAACCGGGCCGTGGCGACAGGCGCTTCCAACAGAGCAGCAGCCCGCCGGCGACCGGTTGCTCATGACTATACCTGCCGATGGCCATTTGTTAGGCGCGGTCAACAGAGCAGTGGTGCGAGACGAGCAGACGGGTGAGGGATGGAGCCGGGATGAGCCGAGACGTGGATAGACCCCGCGGCTGTGCCTTGCGTCTCTCTCTCTCTCTCACGGTTCCTGGAGGAGGGGAGAGCCGACTCACATCTGTTGCTTCAGGCTTCCTGGACGAGGAGGGGGAGGCAGCCTCGCCCGCCTCCTTCCTGGAGGTGCAGGCCGCCTTTGACGCGGTTAGGCGGCCACCGGCGCGCTGTGAGGTGCGAGCGGCGCTACTCATAGCCGCAGCGTGTATGCAGGTGATCGACGCGCTCGACCACCCCGAGGGGACCGAGGGAGAGGAGGGGGGGAGGAGGAAACGGAGGCCGGACCGGCGAGAGAAGACGCTCGGCGAGCTGTTGGTCGAGCGGCTGGGCGAGAGATAGCCGAGATGCCGCCGAGATACAGCACCCGAGATCCGGCCGAGATCGCCGCTTGTCGAGATTGGTCGAGATTGGGCGAGGAGGCCGCGACGGTGGCGGAGGTGCGGAGAGGCGCCGCTCAAGGGTTGCGACTGTGAGCAGGCGAGGAGCCCGAGACGGTGGCAGAGGTGTGGGACGAGATCCGAGAGCAGAATCTCGAGGTGACAAATGCAACGCTGAGTAGTTCGACACTGCAGCTGGAGCCGATGACACGATGGGCGGCCGCGATAGCCTGTTCGCTGTGGCGTTGCATGGCTTGAGGGAGGCCGATGGTGGCAGGTGACTGCTGCGATGCTCACCCAGCTGCTGCACGCGTGTACATCTCTGGGCAGCGACGGCCTCTGCCCGGCAGCCCTAACCGTCAAGTCGTTCTCAACGTGCAATGCATGTCTGACTACAGGCTCGGACGGCTTCCACACCGCGGTGGATATCATAGAGGCGCGTGGCTGCGCCTTCCAGCTGCATGGGGCGAGGCAGGGTTTCACACTGCGCGTGGGTGTGAACAGGCGGAGGAGTGCACCTTCCAGCTGGGCGCGAGGCAGTCCGGACTCTGCTCGCTGCTCCAGCTCTGCACCGGGCCGATGGGGGAGGACGAGGCGTGGGATGCTGACGTGGTCGTCAACTACCACGTCAATGACGAGGTGGCCCGAGATTGCCCGAGATTGTCCGAGAGCGGCTGGCGGCTACCCCACGCCGACGGCAAGGGGGAGAGTCACCGACCAGCCCAGCTGCCACTCGGCTCGTTGTTCCCCGGTCACTGCTGAGTGACGAATGCATGGCATTAGGACCGAGAGCACCCGAACGTGATCGCCGCCATCGGGGCCGTCTACTGCGCCGGAACGAGGTCGCCCTTCTAGCCCCTTCTAGCGGCGAGGAGTGTGGTGGTGCTAGCCCTCGCCCACCCTCGGGCGTCTACCTCTTCCTATCTCTCTTCGCAGTTTCTCGTCAATTCTCGCAGCGACCTTCATGCCACCTCGCGCTCTTCCCACTCTCGTCTCTCGTCGTTCTCTCTCCTTTTTTTCTCTCTCTCCTTTTCTCGCAATAAACCACATCCGTTTTCTTTTCTGCACTTGGTCTTGGAGCACTCTTGGAGTGCAGTGTCAGTAACCGCACATCCAGGGCCGGGCGGGGCTTAGCGCTAAGATGTACAAGAAGCACACCCAGCTATCACAGCGTCTTCATCGACGGCGAGGGAGAGGGGCGGCTCTCGTCGTGTGGGTCAGCGGCAACGGAGGGCGAGGAGGAGCAGGAGGACGAGGAGGAGGAATTTCCAGGCCTTATCGGCCACGGCGAGGGCGTGACGTGGCTCAACACGCCGACCCGCCTTCCGTCAACGCTGGGTGACGAGCGCGCCGTGAGCGTGTCGGCTGGAGGTGGCCACAACCTCGCCCTCACCGCCGACGGCGCCGCCTGGAGCTGGGGCGACGGAGAATACGGCAAGCTTGGCCACGGCGACGAGCAGGACCAGCCGCTACCGAAGAAGATCGAGGCCTTGGCTGGGCGGCGCGTCGTCGCTGTCTCGGCTGGAGTCGCGCACAGCCTCGCCCTCACCGCCGACGGCAGCGTCTGGAGCTGGGGCATGGGCTACGTACTCTGGCCAGCTGGGCCACGGCGACTGGCAGATGCAGCTGCTGCCGAAGAAGATCGAGACCTTGGCGGGGCGGCGCGTCGTCGCTGTTTCGGGTGGAAGCAAGCACAGCCTCGCCCTCACCGCCGACGGCGCCGTTTGGAGCTGGGGCGCAGGAACCGGCGGCAGGCTGGGCCACGGCGACCAGCAGAACCAGCTGCTGCCGAAGAAGATCGAGGCCTTCGCTGGGCGGCGCGTCGTCGCTGTGTCGGCTGGAGCCGACCACAGCCTCACCATCACCGCCAACGGCGCTCTCTTTGCCTGGGGCGAGGGCGAATACGGCTGCCTAGGCCACGGAGAGGACCTGTCGAACCAGCTGCTGCCCAAGAAGGTCGAGACATGGGGGCTGAGGCAGTGAGCGAAGGGGGAGCAGAGCAGGTTCTCAAAGAGCCTGTCTGGGGGGCCAATGCCTCGCCGTATGGTGTGTACAGGAGGCGGCGGGGGCGTCGGTCACACCCGTGTTGGTGTCTGTGTTCACCGCGCGCGGGGTGCGCGACTTCGCGCCAGTGAGAGTGACCAAAACCCCACCATGCACTGCGTGTAAGGTAACGTAAGGTAAACGTCTCCACACACACAAAGTGGTGGGGCAAGGGGGGGGCGCCCCTCGCATCTCCACGCCCGGGACACGGGCAGGAGCCCCACGGCATTCAAACACTGCGTCGTGCGTGTACTCTGACGTACGGCTTTACGTATACCAACGCGAGGCTGCTGACTGCATCGAGAGGACTGCAAATCCCACACAGAGTAACACGCTTCTTTTGCGAACGCGTTCAAACACAAAAGTCGAAAGGAATGAACAACAAACACTCTTGTACATCAAAAGAAGAGGCGCCGGCAGAGGGGCGCCCGAACGTGAAAACGCGTCGCAACCCTGTACTTGCTCCAATCGGCGTGGTGGCACGGCGACAGCTACGCCCCCCTGTCTGCGCGCCTTTCTTCCAGGACTCTGCGCCTCCGCCATCTCCGTGGCCGCGGGGGCGCTACATCGTGATGGCCGAGAAGACAGGGTTGTGCCTGCCGGGGGCGGGGGGCGGGGCGGGGCGGGGTGGGCGCGCGGGCGGGGCGGGGTGGGTGCGCGCGCAAGGGGGGGGGGGGGGGGAGCCCTGCTGAGGCTGGATCTCGATCGCATCTCGCCGGCAGATCGAAGGCCCATACTCCTCGTACTGCTGCCGCGTGTGCACCACGTTGTGGAACTCGGGCGTCGAGGCGAGCATCGAGCCGCCAAACCTGCTCACGCGGCTGCCGCTGTGAACGGCGCCTGGCTTCGGTGGGTGGGGGGGGCGCCAGCCCAGACGGCGAAGCGCTGCATATCTCCCATTATCTCCCCGTATCTCCCCGTATCTCCCCAAATCTCGGACCAGACGGCGAAGCGCTGCATGTGGTGCGAGATGACGTTCACGTCGGTCGGCGTGGGCTTGATGCGGCCGTTAGACAGCTGCTCCGCTTTTCTCGACCGCTCGTCAACGCACCTAGCGAGATATAGCCGAGATAGAGCCGAGATAGAGCCGAGATAGAGCCGAGATAGAGCCGAGATAGAGCCTAGATAGAGCCGAGGTACACAGCCTCAGCCCACCGGTCTTGATGCCGCGCTGCAGCTAGATCTCGGCTAGATCTCGGCTAGATCTCCGCTATCTCGCGCCGCTTGATGTCGCGCTGCAGCCGCCGCCCAAAGTCCTTGAACATCGTCGACCTGCGGACATGTCCCGGACATGTCCCGGACGTGTCGTGGGCATGTCCGCCCCAAGGGGTCTTGAGTGTCGTCGCGCCCGCCCGATAGGACGACATTCTTGTACAGCCCCCGCCGGCAGTCGATCGGCGAGGCCTGGATGGTCGCGTCGATCACGTTCGGCAGCGGCGTGGTGTAGTCCGGGTTGCAGATCTCTGGGTTGAAGAAGATCTCCGGGCCGAGGAACCGCTCGTACGCAACGTCCACCTAGGAAGTGTCTTAGAAGTGTCTTAGGAAGTGTCTTAGGAAGTGTCTAGGAAGTGTCTAGGGAGTGTCTTAGGGAGTGTCTTAGGAAGTGTCCTAGGAAGTGTCTTAGGAAGTGTCTTAGGAAGTGTCTTAGGAAGTGTCTTAGGAAGTGTCTTAGGAAGTGTCTTTGGAAGTGTCTAGGAAGTGTCTAGGAAGTGTCTTAGGGAGTGTCTTAGGAAGTGTCCTAGGAAGTGTCTTAGGAAGTGTCTAGGAAGTGTCTAGGAAGTGTCTAGGAAGTGTCAGGCAGTGTCGAGGATGTAACAGGGAAGTGTCCGCCACGTCGACCTGTCTGTGTCACTCTCAAACTAAACCGGGGGCCGCGCTCTCGTGGGCCACGCCCTCCTCTCCCCCCGGGCTCCTTGTGCTGCAGGGTGGTCGTACGCTTCTTGATAGCAGTCTGGAGGAGTGCTGCCTTCCATGCGATGCCCTTCTTCGTGTTGCCGGCGGTCTCGCGCACCCACCGCCTCGGGTCCTCGTCATACTTCTTGAACTCCTACGTCTCACTCGCCCTCGGTGAGCCTGCGCCGCGACACTCACCCAGCAGAGCCTCGTCAAACTTCTGGCGCTCCTTGGCCATGTCCGGGCAGACGTAGCAGTATTGCTCCTATGCGACATGTCTCGGACATGCCGTGGACTGTGTCCTGGCCATGGCCGGGCAGGTGCAAGCATTGGCTCCTTGACACGACGCGCAATCTCCATCGCTTCGTCGGCCGGCATGCCGCTCTCCCGCTCGCGCCTACACGGGCGTGTCTTGGACGTGTCGTGGACGCGTCGCGGACACGCCGGCATGCCGCTCTCCCGCTCGCGCATCAGCAGCTGGATGAAGTTCGTGATGTCGCGGCCGGCGAGGGGGATGTGCTTGATGCACGACCCGATGACATACCTGCCCAACAGACCAGGACTCAAGAAGGGACGCCTCCGAAGTCGAGGATGACGCACGGCCGCTGACGGACCCGTCCGAGACGGGGATCACATGCGTCACTCCGTCGCCCGCGTCGACGACTGTGCCGGTGAGCGTGCGGGCGACCACCTGCTTCGACGTCCACGACGCGGCGAGCGCGAGCACCGCCTAGACACTTCCGAGACACTTCCGAGACACTTCCTCGGCACGGCGCGGCGAGGGCGAGCGCGCCTGAACGGCGATGTAGAGGCCCTTCACGTTGTACGTCTCGAACATGATCTCCGCGGTGAGCTCGCGGTTCTCGGGCGTGTTCATCGGCGGCTCGGTGAGCAGGAAGTTGTGCTCCTCGGGGTCGCACCGCAGGTACTTGAACATGCAGCGCTGCCAGTACCGCTCCATCGCGTCCCAGTTCTCGACGATGCCGTGGCGGATGGGGTAGTTGACGGTGTACTCACCCGCGCGCGAGAGAGCCTCGTCGCCGATCCAGAAGTCCATGTCCTCGACGCCGTGCCAGTCCTTGCGCGCCTGCTTCGGCTCCTTGGTCGCGATGACCGACGGAATAATAAAGTTTGGCTCGCAGTTGCCGGCGTAGCCCATCTTGCAGTAGCCGGTGCCGTTGTCGATCACCACGGCGGGGGCCTCCATCGCGCCAAGGCGGGGCCAGCACTCCAAGCTGCCGGCGCCGACCAGTCGGCGAATTCTCTATTCTGTGCCAGTCCGAGCCACTCTTCGCCACGGCCCGTGTTTCTTCCGCTCTCGTTGCGCGGCTACACACACACACACACGCACACTCTCTCTCCGGGTGCCGCCCCCACCTACTCACCGTGCCAGCGTCACGGCATGAGCGGTGACCTGAGGACCACGGCCGCGAGTGTCGTCTCTTGGTTCTTGCTCAACATCGCCATCGGCAACCTCAACGGCTGGATCCTCAAGCACCACGGCTTCTCTTACCCGGTGGTGCTGACTGCGGTGCACATGCTCTGCTGCTGGCTCCTCTCCGCCGTCTGCCTGGTCACCATCCTGCCTCCCGCAGACCCGCGGCCAACGCCAGTCGGCACCGTGGCCAAGGTCCGCACGCTCGCCCTCGCCTTCTGCGCTTCGGTCGCGCTCGGCAACATCGCGCTGCGGTACATCTACGTGTCGTTCGCGCAGATGGTGTCTGCGGCGTCGCCGTTCTTCACGATGCTGCTGATGGGCGCGATGGTCGGCAAGCGATACTCCCTCGCGCAGTATTCGGCGATCGTGCCGATGTGCGGCGGCGTGATGATGTGCACAGTCGGCGAGCTCAACTTTCATATGCTCGGCTTCACCGCGGTCGTCGCCTCCACCCTGCTCCGAGGGGTCAAGTCGATCCTGCAGGGGCGGCTGCTGACTGCGCCCGAGGAGCGCCTCGACGCGATGCTGCTCCTGTACCACATGTCGCGCGAGTCGCTGCTGCCGCTCGGCCTGTACTCGTCGCTGGTAGAGTACCAGGCCTACTACGACCCGCAGCTGTCGGGGCCGGGCGCCCCCCGCCTGTGGGGCCTGGTCCTGCTCTCCGGCCTCGTCTCCTTCTTCCTCAACCTCGCCAACTTCCTCGTGACCAAGCACACCTCCGCGGTGATGCTGCAGGTCCTGGGCAACGTCAAGGCCGCCCGCCCTCCGCGTCCCCTCTCCCCCGCCCCGTGCCTCTCTCCTCCTTTGCAACGCCTCTTCACACGCGCAGCGGTGGACACAGGTCGTCCTCTCGATCCTCGTCTCCCTCCTCATCTTCGGCAACCGCGTCTCCGCGTCGAGCGCCGTCGGCTGCGCCGTAACGCTGGCCGGCGTCGCCGCTTACAACTTTTGCAAATAGACGGAGGTGGCTCCGACCGCCGCAGGGTTGTGTTGATCAGATGTCGCGTCAAGTTAAGTAAAACAACGGCCCCCGCCCCCCGCTGCGGCGCCGCGGGCACACGTGCGACGTGGCCACGTCTGCGCGCGCGCGCGCCACCCCCCGGTTTTGGCGGTGAAGCGGTATATACAATATAGGTAACTCAGAGTAGCGGGGAGCTGACAGCAGCACGCGTGCTGTACGGGACGCGCGGCGGACGGGGCACGGCGCCCATGGGAGTCAGAGGCCATGGGTGGGGGGTTCGCAGGCCAGCGCGCGGGGCACCGCGCGGCCCACCGCGCGCCGACGTCGCCGAGTCCGGGCGCGCGCGAACGAGACTCGGTGTCGACGACGACGTGTGGAGTCCATGCCAACCCCGCTTTGACACGAGCCGATTCTTTACCGTGGCGTAACAAACAAGAGAAGAGATAAAACCAACTGAGCGGGCCCGCGCGCTGCATAACCCTGAGAGTTGGAGGAGGCGGAGTGGTGTGAGAGAGAACGCCTCTCTGCACAGCCACCGAACAGACCGAGAACGGTATGCGCCTGAGGGCGTCAGTCTGTCCTAGCCTCGGGCGGCCGTCTATCATGAATCGGGCATCGCGCGAAGCTCCGCCATGTATTTCGCGCACGACCTCGCGCACTGGTCCTTCATGTACCTGCACCAAAAGGCGGCGGGTGAGCCCGCAGGGGCGCGGTCGAGTCGAGGGGTGAGCCGGGAGCGCACTTTGGATTCCGCGTGCACTCGCCCGCCGCGGCCCAGAGGGAGCACGACAGATTCTTGTCCTGGATGGAGTCGTCGATGTGCGCCTCGCTCTCATCGTGCGGTTGCGCTGCCCTGCGGTCGGCGCGGAGGCCGCAGCCTCCAGATTCCGCATCGGTGCCTAAAGCAAACGGGCAGTTTGTTGTCAGCGACCAACGAGAGACGCGCAGAGCGTGCTGGGGGGCGAGGGGCCTTTGCCGGCGCCCTCGCTGCCACTCCCTTGGGAGGGTGCAGCGCGTCTTCCGCCGCAGGGCTCGGTATGCTCGGTTGGCCCGAGCCGGCGCCTGGGCGTGACGGTGTCGGGTGGAAGGCGCAAGGCGGCGTGCAGCATAAGTGGGATGGGAGGCTGTCGAGGAGGAGCGCGAGGTGGTCCGGGTGCGGCCGACGCTCACAAGCGCAGCGGCTGCGGGGTATGGGTCGCACCTGCTGCTCCGACGACGCGTTGTCTCCAAGGCGAGTTTAGCCGAGAGGGTATAGACGCCGAGGGCACGGTGCCACCGCTCACGTACCCAAACAGAATTACCTACGTCGCGTCGTTGGTGGGTAGGAGGGGTGAACGCCATGTCAATGCCCCCCCTACACCGTGTAGGCAAGGCGAGGGGTGGCCCTTGCAATGCAACCGCACGCATGGGGTGGTGGCGGTTTTTGAATGTGGAGGTGAGGGGGAGGGGGGGGGGGGCAAGGGGGCGAGAATCAGTCCCTATCAGTCCCACATTGCACCGGGGCTGCGATGGGCAACATGTACGGCGAGTGACGCAGGGTGGACGTGGTTGGCAAAGGGAGGCGCACCAACGCGAGAGAGCCAAAGCACAGGAGCTTCAAGCAGCCGGGCCAAGGAGAGGTGGCCCTCGTAGCGTTGTAGAGCGGCAGCGTGCCATCGATCAAGCGTATCCGCTCCGACGTCGGGTCACTCATTCGCACCTTCGTCTTTGGCGAATTGTACAGCGGCAGCAGCATGTCGCTACCTTGGAGTCGGTCGTGCGTCCGTCCACCCACTGCCCAGCACACGGAGGTTTTCCGGAAGGTGTGAATGGGAGCGGCAGGGATCCAAAGGCGCAAAAGACTTTTTCCCGCCTTCGTCTGAAAAATAACCCTCTCAGCAGTCAGTAACCCTCGGGATGCAAAGAAAGAAAGAAAACAGACACACCAAACGAGGGATGGGAGAAAAAAAGAAAGAAACAGAGGACCCAAGGGAGGGATGGGAGAAGTTCGTAAGAACCACGCGCGCAGTTCGCCTTCTTCGAGCGGGCGCTGCCGCTGCTCGAAACGGCCACCGACGCCGAGCTGCAGACCGTCGTGCGCGAGTACGCGGCCCTGCTCGCCGAGGGCGCGGCGAGGGCGCGCCGGCGAGCTTCGCCGTCGAGCTGGCGTGGCGCACCCACCTGCTAAGCCCGCTGTGCTACGTGCACGCGTGCATGGTGCACCACGCGCAGCCCGTGCCGCATCAGCCGGCACTCTCCGACTGGGCAGGTAAGGTAAGGTAAGGTAAACTTCTCCACTGGGCTCTGCGATTCATACATCCTCCCGCCGGCGCAATTCACAGCGTGTTGGCGTCCGGATTGAGCCGTCTTTGTGCATACGTGACGCGATCAGGCTGGCATGCAGCTAGTGTCTAGTATTGCACCAAGAAATCACAACAGCACGATCGTGCGGTGGTCAACGGCTCCCTCTGGCTCCCTCCGGCACACTGGCGAAGGAAAGGAAAGTCCTTTCTTCCTCTCCCTCCAGAGAACCCTACGCCACGGTGATGCCATGAACAGATCGTGCGGTCGTCAACGGCGCCACCGCCTCCCATGCGTTCGTCGCGGGGTCGTACCGCTCCACCGAGCTGAGGTACTCGTCGTCGTCGTTCAAGCCGCCCACAGCGTACAGCTTGCCATCGAGCGCCGCAGCTCCGAGGATTGAGCGATACGCCGCCATCGGCGCCACCGCCTCCCACGCGTTCGTCGCCGGTTCGTACCGCTCCACCGAGCTGAGGAGGTCGGAGTTGTGGCCTCCCACAGCGTACAGCTTGCCGTCGAGCGCCGCCACGGCGTGAGCAATCCGCTCGACCGCCATCGGCGCCACCGCCTCCCACGCATTCAGCGCCGGGTCGTACCGCTCGACCGAGCTGAGGCAGCCACGGTTGTTGTGGCCGCCCACAGCGTACAGCTTGCCGTCGAGCACCGCGACGGCGTGATCATACCGCCCTGTTGCCATCGGTGCCACCGCCTCCCACGCGTTCGTCGCCGGGTCGTACCGCTCCACTGAGCTGAGGGTGCCGCCGCCGTCGCCGTCCCCGCCCACATCATACAACTTGCCGTCGAGCACCGCCACGGCACGACCCTCCCGCGCCGTCGCCATCGGCGCCACCGCCTCCCACGCGTTCGCCGCCGGATCGTACCGCTCCACCGAGCTGAGCCAGTCGTCGTGACCATGCCCGCCAACAGCGTACAGCTTGCCGTCGAGCACCGCCATGCCGGCATCGGCGCGTGCCGTCAGCATCGGCGCCACAGCCTCCTCCCCCCACTCATTTGATGACAGGTCGTACCGCTCAAGCGAGCAGTCGTTGACAAACTCATCGCGGCCGCCGAACACGACCAAGCGCGGCTTCTCACGCCTCTTCAGCGTCTCCTTCCAGCCGCGGCGCCACGCGCGGCACGTCCCCTTGACGGCGTGCGCCTTGATCGGCAGCTGGGCGAGGATGTGCGGGGCGAGGTCCGGCGAGAGGAGGACCTCGGAGAGCACCCACTCGGGCTGCTCCACGAGCCGTGCGGCGTGCTCCTCCGCCACGCGCAGCGCGGCGTCGCTCGCGCCCGCCTGCGCCTCGATGATGGCGCACAGCTGCGAGCGTGAGGGACCCTGCTCCTTGATGATTACGAGCAGCTGCTCCGGCGAGAGGCCCGAGAGGCGGGCGCCGATGCGGTGGGAGGCCATGAAAAACAACTCTCCGTACGGGGCGCGCCACTTTCCCGGCGCGGCGTAGGTCCCACTACGGGCCCCGCTCTTTGGAAGCGGCGCGCGCGCGCACACACAAAGACGCTGCCCCCTCACACCCCGCACCGCACATACACACCCCTCGTGGCCGTTCTTCAGTCTGCGGCCAGGGCGCGCTGCACCGGGCCAACCTGCGGCCGTCGCTACGAGCGGCGGGGCTCAACGCGGGGCAGCGCGCCGACAACGTCGAATGCGCCGCCGTGGCATCGCGGCGCCGACGACCAGGCTCAGAGGATGACCCCGGGTAAGCGTTCCCGTGCCTCGACAACTGCCGCTGGTAGGCGCGCCGCGCCGAACCATGGCGGGCGCGCCGCGGCCGCGCGCAACCCTCGTCACAATGCCAACCGCGCGCGGCCGTCGACCAGCAAGCACACGCCTCGACTCGGACACAGTGTTCCGGGGGCAAGGGAGAGGGGCTGGCTCCTAGCCCGAGAGGAGAGCTTCCGAGACCCACTACAAGACCACGCACGCATCATCCCGCGGCCTCGCGGTCGGCGGGATTGCAACCAGTCTTCGCGTGCCGCCTGTCGTTCGCTCGGGCGCACTTGGGCGTCGGGGTGGCGAGCAGGGGACGCGGCTCTGAGCGCCCAGCGACGCGTGCCGGATGGAGTCCGGCCGCGGGTGACTAGGGAAGTTCGCTCAGGATGTGTGGGGGGGGAGAGGAGGATCTCAGCGGTGGAGGGGATGTGGTCGGTACGTGCGGACCGCGTGGTGCTGCGATGGCTTGACGAGTGCGACTCCCAGCGTCGACTTTTCGACCCCACGGAGCCTCTGCTGCTCCGGGGGGGGGGGGTCTGCAGACCACGACCCGGCCGAACTTCAGAGTCGCGGTGCTCCTCAAATACCGCTCAAACGCCCCCGATGTTGTGGAGGGGACATATGCTGATGATCCTGGCCCGATTGGTTCGCGCAGAAAGCTTCTGGGCGGCCGTTAAGGTTCGCTCCCCGCACACCTGCCCGGAAGTATCGTACCCTAGAACCTGGTTTGTGGACCTCCCGCACCTGTCCTGACAGTCCTGACAGAGTCCTGACAGAGTCCTGACAGAGTCCTGACAGAGTCCTGACAGAGTCCTGGCGGAGTCCTGACGACGCACAGTCTTCACAGTACTCACAAGTGCCTTTGACGAGACTTCCACCTTCCAGCTTCCTTCACTGCAACCCTCCCCTCCCCCCCAGCAGTGAATGATAGACGCCCAGCCCCCCTTTCGACCCGTGCCGCCCTCTGCGGAATCGTCCTGATGGGGCAGTCCTGACGTAAACTTGAGAGTCCTGACAAGCAAACTTGAGAGTCCTGACAGAAACTTGAGAGTCCTGACAGAAACTTAGAGTCCTTACAGACAAAAGAAATCACCCTGCCTCTCGCGCCACTCGGCTCGACCATGAAAAGCGCACAAGCAAGAGGCGCGGCCATTGTGCAGGCAACGTTACAGCCGGCAACGTGCAAGAAGGCAGCAAAGCTCGGCCACGACGTCCATGACCCGCGCGCCCCCGATTTGCCACCGACTGCTGACCGAGGCAGCGCCCACGGCAGCGCCCACAGCAGCACCCACGACAGCACCCACGGCAGCGCACACGGCTTGGCTGGCCATGTCAGCCGCGCAGGGACCCTCCCGCGGGTCCAACCCGAAGCGCTCGACCGCTCGACAGCGCAAGTCGGCTGACGGAGCGAGCCGCATAGCCCTCCAGTGCTCACCGCAGGATCAGGCCTGACCGGCCCACGCTCACGGCCTGGCCTGCCTGTGGACCAGCAAACTCGTTGGCTGTACACGAGGAAAGAGCTGCGTGGCTGGGTCGATACCGTCCCCGTGCGCCCTTTCCCTCAGTGGAGGGCCGTCCCTGCCCTCGGGAGTAACTCGACTGTACACCCCTCCCTACTCTCTAGCTAAGGGCTCTATTCACAGCGGGCGGACAGTGGTTGTCCTGGCGGAGTCCTGACAGAGTCCTGACAGAGTCCTGACGGAGTCCTGACAGAGTCCTGACGGCCTATTTTGGAGGTTTTCAACTTTGAGGTATTGTAACTATGTGAGGGTGAAATGAATGAATCAGTTCTTGGGCCAGGTACCAATTTTGTCGAATTTATTTCAAAATCTGCAGGCGCGGAGCGCCTGCGAAAATTTTGAAGAAATTTGCAGTCGGGCCTGATTTTCATCAAGATCTTTCAAATTTGCGGTGTGGAGTTGGGGGGTGGGTTAGGTTAGGGTTATTAGGGTTAGAGGGTTAGGGTTAGGGTTAGGGTTAGGGTTAGGGTTGGGTCAGGGTTGTCTGGTTGTGTCTGTATATGCCAGCGTTGCAGGGTTCTGCGCTGGGATCTGGCCCCAGCGCCGACGAGTAAGACTCAGCACCGCACGCTGACCCCACCAAATGCCGCCTCAGGGCGCCAGGCCGCCAGCCACTTCTTACACGCGGCCGGCGCCCTCTCGCGGCAAAAGGGTCGAGCGAGCGGGCAGAGTCGCGATGTCTGCGCACCCGCGTGCCGATGGGCGGCACACGCAACCGAGAGAGGCCCTGTCGCGCCGCCAGTAGCGTTCTCCGCACTCCCCACGCCACCAATTGCCGCCTCAGGGCGCCAGCCACCTCTTACACGCGGCCGGCGCCCTCTCGCGGCAAAAGGGTCGAGCGAGCGGGCAGAGTCGCGATGTCTGCGCACCCGCGTGCCGATGGGCGGCACACGCAACCGAGAGAGGCCCTGTCGCGCCGCCAGTAGCGTTCTCCGCACTCCCCACGCCACCAATTGCCGCCTCAGGGCGCCAGCCACCTCCTTACACGCGGCCGGCGCCCTCTCGCGGCAAAAGGGTCGAGCGAGCGGGCAGAGTCGCGCGATGTCCCTGCGCACTACCTGGGTGTTCGCCGCCTATATGCTCTATCCTGTGCCAAGACGGACACATTTTGACAATCAAAATCTACCTCAAAATTTGCGGCCGCCCCTCGAAATTTGCTGATCAAAATTTGCGGTGGCCCGGATCGAAACCTGTACTTTGGCCAAATCAGTTCTTTGGGACAGTGCAATCCGTTTAATTATCACCTCCAACTCAAAAAAAGTCTGGTGTCAAACGGACAACGGGGTCCCTTATGGTGGCCTGTAAGGGTAAGGTGCGGGAGGTCCACAAACCAGGTTTGTGGCAGCCAGCTGGCTGTGTGTCTTGTGAGCCTGTTTGTGTCTGTGTGTCGCTCGTGCGTGTGCGCTGTCGTCATCATCTGTCCCGCGGCCACCCATACCGCGTTGGTGTCCCTCTGTCCAGTCCGATCTAGGGTACCCAAACTCCGGGCTGTTGTGTGGGGAGCGAGCCTTAACGACCACCCACAGAAGCTTTCTGAGCGAACCAATCGGGCCAGGATCATCAGCATATGTCCCCTCCACAACATCGTGGGCGTTTGAGCGGTATTTGAGGAGCACCGCGACTCTGGAAGTTCGACCCCCCTCCCGCGCCCGGAGCAGCAGAGGCTCCGTGGGGTCGCAAAGTCGACGCTGGGAGTCGCACTCGTCAAACCATCGCAGTACCACGCGCCGGCGGTCCGCACGTACTGCCCACATCCCCTCCACCGCTGAGAAGGCGCAGATCGACCGCCGGTCCCCGCGTAGTCGTCGTTAAGGAGCGATTTTTGGAGCCGTACAAAGAGGTCCCACAGACGGGCGAACATGCGGTTTTTCGATGACCACACGCGATGTGGTATCTGCTTTTTGCTAAAAACGGGCCGCCTAGTGCAGCATCACTAGTACAACACGCCCACACTGAGAGCTCCAACACTAGCCGGTATACCTGGGTCCAATCAGCACGAGGCCTGCCCCGTCGGGCAGCCCCCGCGAGCGCATGGGCGGCCGGCGCGAGCGGAGAACGGCGGGCCGAGATCTCGCTGTTCGGCACAAAAAGACGAGGCGACAGAGGGGGGGGTGCTGAGTTTCGTTCGCTACCCTAGACCGAGCCGGGCTGTTCTTCACCTTCCTACCTAACCTAACGCCTAAAATGCCCAGTAGGGCGCCGGCACCCCAGCGTAGAGGGCCTCGTGTAGCCCTCCTTTCGGTATAAAAAAAAGAGAGACGCACAGAGGCTCAGGCTAGTTCCATTTCACTGTGGCACAGCTCGCGTTACAAACCTTGATTTGACCATTTGCGCAGAAAGGTACATCTCCGTGCCTTCCAGAGGCAGCTGCGATCCCGCCGAGTGGACGGTTGCACACAGCAGGTAGCAGCTGCGATCCCGAGTGGACGGTTGCACACAGCAGGTGGCGCGGTGTGCGCCCGTCCACTCGGCTGGATCGCAGCTGCCTCTGCGCGTCCTGGGGACGTACCTTTGTCGCGCGCCGGAGACGACTCGACGCCGCTGAGATCGGAGATCAAGCTCTGACAGGTCGCACGTCGCTCCTTTGACGCCGACGTGACTCACCCGTGCAGATCACATCAGGACACGGTCTCGACACGCTCGGTACGACGCCTGCGACCCGTCTTGGGTCAGCTGGCACGACGCTCATCGCGCCTACCAGCGCTGCCGTACAGATGCCACGACGAGGTCGAGCACGCTTCTATACGCTCGCCCAGCCTTCCTTTCCATCCCATTAGGCAGCCTGGGAATGGTGGCGGTCAGAGGCAAAGCCTACGAGGGGTGGTGGAACCACATGTCACGGCTACTGCCGGCTCGACCCCACGATAGCCTCCGGAGGCTGACTTTGAGGCACAATCATCGGACGACGTCGGCGAGTTGAGTCGCGCTCGCGGTAGGCAGATGACCTCTCATACTAGTATCATCGGCCATGGCCGCAGGAAGCGCGGGGGACTCCGCTGGGAGCAACACGGAGCTCCGTTGGACGCGAGCCTCAACGTTACTAAACTCTAAAGTTTTATCATAAATAGTTTCAACAGAACCAGACATGGACGAGATAAGAGTCTGGACGAGGAAGCGATAATCATACAATCTTCGAAGATCACATCTCTGAAGACTTGAGGGCGAAACTCCACAAGCGCAACCCCTACATCGTACATGCTAGAAGCGCAACCCCGAACAACAGAAATAGGTGCAGGTAGACGCGAGATGGGTGATGGCTGGGGGTTGCCATCCTCGCCGCGGCCGCCCATCGCGAGGCCGTCGGGTCGGCGAGCTCGGACTTGCCCCTGGCCGCAGCCTCCTCCGTAACTCCCGCGTTAGCAACGGTCAAGAAGCCCCCTTCCACAGGAGTTCCTTCCACGCGGCGACCTCAGCCCTGCGTTGGCCGCCGGCAATGATGTCGTGCCACATCCGAGGGCGCTCAGGTGCGAGGCACCGTTGGCCCCTGCGGCGGCGGCTGCGCTGGTGGCGGCGGCGGCGGCTGCTGCGGCGGCGGCGGCTGCGGCGGCGGCGGCTGCTGCTCCTCCCCGCCCCTACGCGGCCGCGGGGACATGCGATCGCGAAAGGCCTTGACGCCGGGCATGAGCTTCTTTGCGTTGCGCGGAGGAGCGGCGTACGGGCTGGCGGGGGCGGGTAGCTGGTCTCGAGAACCGCCGCCGCCGCGGGCCGCCGTGGCGACTGTGCTGGCGGCGGCGGCGGTGGCGGAGGCGGCGTAGGCGACGGGCTGGCGCAGCGAGGGGGGGGGCTTCGGGGCGGGCTGCGCCCGCTTGATCTCGTCGACCGGGGCGGGCTGCGCCCGCTTGATCTCGTCGACCTCCCGCTTGAGACTCTGGACCGACTCCTTGACGTCCTATTCAGTCATGAGCACCCCTTCGTAACGACTACACCCACACTAACCGGCGGCCGACTCGGTGACGTCCTTGATCAGGTCGCGAAGCAGGATGAACTGCGCGCCTTGCGTGGCGTGGATCTGGTTCATCGCTCCCTGCACCTCGGTCGTCTTGTACTCGACCGTCTGCGCCTCCTCCGCCTCGACATGCTCGAGGTACTTGAGCTGCAACCGCTTCGACTGCGCCGGGGGCTTGCTGCGCCCGCCTAGTTCAACCAACCGCGAACCCTTGTGGAGGAGGGGTTGGGGGAGGAGGAGTCGGCTTGCTGCGCCCGCCCGCTAGGTCGGCGGCGTTGCCCGTGCCTCCAGCCGAGAACCGCGACGGGTCGACGATTGACGCCTAGTCGACCGTCGGCTAGAGCTCATCAGCTGCTGCCTCCGTCGGCGCCACGGTGCAGCGGGTCGGCGATGGCTGCCCCACGAGCCGTAGCCGCCGCGCCCGTGCGGAAGGGGGCGAGCAGGACGCGCATCGCGGCGCGGAAGAGCTTGAGCGCGTTGATCGGCAGCGAGAAGGGGGGCGGGATCGGGTCCCACACATTCTGCGCAGAATACATGCGCTGGTAGCGCTGGTAGCGAAACTCCTTTTCGGCCTGCTCCACCACCTTTGTGTACGTGTCGGAGAACATGGCCACCAGCAGATTGACGAGCACCACCGACGAGAGGAGGACGTAGATCCACATCAGCGGCGCCTGACGACGTGGCAACGAACAACTCACTGTTGTGTGAGCTGGCGAGAAGAGGACGCAAGTCTCCCCGTCTCAGCGCGCCACGCCAATCGGCGCGTTCCCCAGCTCCTCCAGCTCGAAAGCGCCGTACACCGCCCACATCGGCTTCATCAGCGCCTGGAGTGGTGACACTCGCCGATGACTAGCCACTATCACTAGTTGAGCGTCCTCTTCCCCTTCCTCGGCGCCGAGGTTGGCTCGAGGTGCGCGTCCAGCTTCTCGGCGGTCTCCTGCGAGAACGCCGCCTCCCACAGCTCGCTGACCTGGCGAGATATGGGGAGATCTGGGGAGATATGGGGGGAAGGGCCGCCTCCCACAGCTCGCTGACCTGGTCCTCCACCCCTTCTGCAGCGGGGTGCGAGGCGCCGGTGCGCAGCGCCCGCCTCGCACCCCGCTGCAGCTGCTCGCCGCCGTACGTGCCGCCGTAGCTGTCCGCGAGGTCGGCGGGGGCGAAGGCATCGGCGGCGGCGTCGGCGTCGGCGGCTGCGCCTTCGTTCGGCGTCGCGCCCGAGTAGAGGCCGTAGAAGGCGAGCATGAAGCCGACGACGATGTAGAGGAACACCTCCATGAAGATGACTTATGAATGAGTGCATTCAGACAATTAGCTAATTTAGATTTCGAGGAACACACCTCCATGAAGATGACCAGGTCCTGCATCATTCGTTGGATGACGATGTACAGCACCCCGATCGGCTTCGAGTACGAGCGGTACCTGCTCAAAGAGACGGCTGTTTAATAATAATAAATAATAATAGAAAAAGAAATCAAAGTTTTATAAGCGGTACCTGCTCAAAGAGACGGCGTGAAGAGACGCACCTCACAGCTAGAGGCTTCGGGGGCGAGCGGCACTCGATCAGCGCGAAGGCGATGAAGACCACGTTGAACGAAAGGAGGATCTGGTACATCGAGTACAGCACCGGCGCGTGCCTGAGGGACATGCCACAGAGGCGTCCTGGACACGTCCCGGACATGTCCTGCACAGCACCGGCGCGTGCCTGGTGGCGGTCTCGAGGCGCGCACAGACTCCGACGACCATCAGCACGTTGCGGAGGATCTTGATGGGCGGCGTGGCCTAGAAGAGCTGGCCCGCCTCCACTGAGCCAAGTCAATGAGTCGGGGCCCAAGTCTCGATCGGCGGCGTGGCCTCGGTCTGGTCGGCGTCGATCGCACTGGCGACATCGTCGAGCACGATGGAGAGCGACCAGAGGTGGAACACCTTCGAATTATGGGGAGATGTGGGGAGATGTGGGGAGATGTGGGGAGATGTGGGGAGATATGGGGAGACCAGAGGTGGAACACCTTCACTCATTAACGAGTTCTTAGCTGTGAATGAGGTGGTGGTGGTGGCCAGAGGCAGCGGAAGAGCCTTCTCAGCGTCGGAGAGCGCGGGGTACGACTCGGGGATCTTGGAGATGTCGACGTAGGAGAGGACGTACCTGTTCACAGCCGCGAAGTGTGAAGAGACGCCATTCACAGCCGGGAGATGCCGGCATGCGAGAGGACGTGTAGAGGACGAGGAAGAGGCAGTGCATGAAGAATCGGAGCACAAAGATCACGGACGGGACCTGTTAACACTACTCCTGGCGAATGACGAGCTAATCAGCAACTGAGCGCGAGGACGACCGGCGGGGCCTGGTAGAAGCCCTTCTTCGCCGAGTCGGCCGCCTGTTAATTATTACTAATGATCAATAACGAATCACTAATTCAGCCCTTCTTTGCCGCCTCGGCCGCCTGGGCCAGCTTCGCGCCGACGCCGCCGCGTGCGCGCGCCTTGAACTTAGTGAAGTGGTTCCGCTGCTTTTCGGCATAGTCTGTGAACCTCTTCCGCCGCACCACCGACGACTCGTTCAAGTCGGCGTGCTCCGCGGCCATCGCGTGCGTCGCCTGTGTGCCGGATCCGGGCCTCAAGCCACACCACAGGTACAGGCACAGGTCCAACTGTGGACGGTCGCCGCCGCGCCAATCGGGCGCTCGCCGCCGCGACGCGCGCGGCTCGCATTTCGGCTATATCTCGGCTATATCTCGGCTATATCTCGGCTATATCTCGGCTGTATCTCGGCTATCTCGCATAAAACTATATCGCCTCGACGCGCGCGGCTCGCATCTCGGCTATATCTCGGCTATATCTCGGCTATATCTCGGCTATATCTCGGCTGTATCTCGGCTATCTCGGATAAAACTATATCGCCTCGACGCGCGCGGCTCGCATCGCGTCCTTTGCGATCGCAAGCATCCGCTCCACCTTGAGCCCTGCCCGCGCCTAATTAATGATTAATCAACCATTAGTAATAGTTATTCATTAAGCACCCGATCCACCTTGAGCCCGGCCCGCGCCTAATGACTCCACCACCTCACTCAAACCCCCCCATATCTCCCCATATCTCCCCACATCTCCCAGCACGCGCCTAACGACTCCATCCACTGACGAGCCCCTCGCGCACGGACTCTCCCCACATCTCCCCACATCTCCCCACATCTCCCCACATCTCCCCACATCTCCGCCCTCGAGGCACATCTCCCCATATCTCCCCATATGTCCCCTCATCTCCCCATATCTCCGCCCTCGAGGCACGCGTTCGCCTTCTTCGACGCCTCGTCCTGCGTCTTCTTCTGGTAGAGCGAGCGCGCCTTTGCTGTGTAGTGCGGGTTCGTCAGCGGCATCGTGGCCCGCCACAGCAGCGCCGTCATCGAGATGTTCTCTGGAAGCTCGACTGACGAGCCGGCGTGCCTCCCGTTCCACATCCGGTCGAGCAGCGCCTTGGGGAGATGTGGGGACATATGAGGAGATGTGGGGAGATCATCCGATCGAGCAGCGCCTGGCAGTGCCGGTCCGTGTCACCATTACTACTGACGCTAGCATTGTTGTTGTTGCTGCTGCTACAGGCCGAGCAACGCCTGGCAGTGCCGGTGCGCGAGGAAGCGCTTCATCTCCAGCTGCAGCGCCAAGTCGAGCAGCGAGAAGCGACCCTCCTGTTCAGTGCCCACGCCTCGTTAACCAGCTGGTTCACCAAGGCGAGCAGCGAGGGGCGGATCTCCGTGTGGTCCAGCAGGCGAGGTGTGGGGACATATGGGGAGGTGTGGGGAGGTGTGGGGAGGTGTGGGGAGGTGTGGGGAGGTGTGGGGAGAGATGGGGGGAGATGGGGGGAGATGGCCCGCCTTGTGCTCCAGCACCGCAAAGGCGTCCGTCTGGGAGTCTGCGGCGTTGATGACGTCGACAGCCACCTGCTCGTACCTGATCCATTCACAGCTCCGTCGTCATTGCGTATTCATTGCACAATGCCGTCCACCGCACCATCTGCGCGTACCGCTCCGCTTGCTCCTCGAGCCTGGACTTCGAGGTCACCTAGGGGATGCATCAGCAGGTACTGTCTAGGTACTGTCTAGGAAGTTTCTAGGGAGTGTCTAGGAAGTGTCGCCATCTTGTTCCCAATCAGCAGGCACTGGTGTCTCCCCAGATCTCCCCAGATCTCTCCATAGCTCGCGCCATCTTGTTCCCAATCAGCAGGCACTGGTGTCTCCCCAGATCTCCCCAGATCTCTCCATAGCTCGCGCCATCTTGTTCCCAATCAGCAGGCACTGGTGCGAGCCCAGCAGAGCGACGCGTGCGGGGTCGTCGCACTCGCGCCAAAAGAGGTCTGCAATCGAGTACTCGCCCAGAAAAACAGACCACGTGAAGAGGTGCGCGAAGTGCGGCGCGGTCTCGGCGAAGGCGGAGAGCGAGAGCACGCCGGGCCGCCCCTCCGCCTTGTCGATGTTCTTGAGCCAGATGCCAATCACGTCCTGGACACACCTCGGACGGCATTAGTGAGCACCAACTACGGCGATGGGAGAGTGCTCCAGTTTGAAGGCCTGGAAGCACTCGTACGAGCGGCGAGGCGAGTGCCTAGTCCCATACCACCCACGGGACTGAACCCACACCGGATTCGGTACTTTGGAGGGAAGGTAGGGCGGCGCGAGTGCGTCGTGTCTCGGATCCGGCCCTGGTTGGTGAGAAGCTCCTTCTGCAGCTTCTCGTCGCTGTCGAGGAACCCGTCGTTCGGCACCTAACTCGTCAACCAATTCATTCACTACTATTGATGGGTCGCTGTCGGGCCCGTCGCTCGTGCACCAAGTAGAGCTTGCACAAGTTGACGAACTGCAGCGAGAACCCCTGGTAGCCCATGAGCAGCCGGATCACGTCGTAGCGGCGCAGCTCGAGCGCGTACTGCAGCGCCTGATCTCGTCCAATCTCGCGTGAGCTCGCGAGGTCTCGAGGAGGCCAACTCGCGCGCGTGCTGCAGCGCCAGCTGGTGCGACTTTGTGAACTCGCCCTTCGGGTTGTGCTGCTCCTTGAAGATCGCCTACGCGTGTCCGAGTCCGCTGACTCACGACTGCCCTGCCCCCTTCGGGCGGTGCTGCTTCGCTGAAGATCTCCTCCACCACGAGAGGCCGGTTCCACTTTACCGCGAGCTGGATCGCGCGCATCCGCCGCCGCCGCTGCGCATGCTGCAGCGGGTCCGCCGCTGTCCCGAGCGTTGACGACTCGGGCGCTATCCCGAGCGCTGACGACTCGGGCGAAGCCATGGACTGGCTCGACAGTGATGCGTTCGACTCCTGCAGCGCCAAGGCTGGCTGGGCGAGGCTCGAGGGCGTGCCGGGTCGGTCCGGCGGCGTGATGCGGCCGGCCGAGTCGCCTCCTCCCGCCACCCACAGCCGCACGATCGCCTGCGGGGGAACAGCGGGGACGAGTCTGACACTCGCCGCTTGGCCGCCATCACCCCCTCTCCCCCCCCCCTCTCCCCCTCTCCCCCCCTCTCGCCTGCAGGAGGACGTTGGACATGTCCTCGGTCGCCTCGAGCACCCCATCGTTGTTCACCTGGAAGAGGGCGATGAGCTCATCAACATTGACTAATCTCGAGATTAATTTTGATGAGTAACTAACTAATGTTGACCTGGAAGAGGGCGATGAGCTCATCAACATTGACTGATCTCGAGATTAATTTTGATGAGTAACTAACTAATGTTGACCTGGAAGAGGGCGATGAGCTCATCAACATTGACTGATCTCGAGATTATTTGATGAGTAACTAACTAATGTTGACCTGGAAGAGGGCGATGAGCTCATCAACATTGACTAATCTCGAGATTAATTTTGATGAGTAACTAACTAATGTTGACCTGGAAGAGGGCGATGAGCTCATCAACATTGACTAATCTCGAGATTAATTTTGATGAGTAACTAACTAATATTGACCTGGAAGAGGGTGATGAGCTTGCCGCCGCTCTCCTCGTTGCACCTATGCGCCAAACACACAACGCACACTGGCAAACGCCTCCTCCGCCCCTCCGCCCCTCCGCCTCTGCGCCGCTCGCTTTCGGATCTCTCTTAGCTGTCCGAGATGTGGGGAGGTGTGGGGAGATGTGGCGAGATATGGGAGCTCGCTTTCGGATCTCTCGTAGCTGTCCGAGATGTGGGGAGATGTGGGGAGATATGGGAGCTCGCTTTCGGATCTCTCTTAGCTGTCCGAGATGTGGGGAGATGTGGGGAGATGTGGGGAGATGTGGCGAGATATGGGAGCTCGCTTTCGGATCTCTCGTAGCTGTCCGAGAGGCTTCTCCGTCCCGAACTTGACGGCGAGGTCTTCCACCTTTGGGGAGGGGTGGGGGAGGTGTGGGGGAGGTGTGGGGAGATATGGCGAGGTCCGTTGGGGAACGAGTGGGCTCAAGGGCTGCTGGGTCATGAGCCGGAGAGAACTAGCTGGGGGGGGGGGGGGGGGCCCCCAAACCTTGCCGTGCGGCGAGGTCCAGTTGGAGAGCGACCCCTCGCCGTCGCCCTCGATGTACTGCTTGATTGCGGTTGCGGCGCCGCCAGAGTCCGCCACAACCACGATCGGCGACCCCTTCTTTGCGGTCTCGAGGACGGTGGCCAGCGTGCCAGGCCCTCCCTGCACCACCAGCAGCACCATCGGCACCGACTTTCGCTCGAGGTAGAAGGACTCGAAGGCGACGCGCAGGTTGATCTCTGTCCCCCACGCCTTGGCCCAGGAGGAGTGGCGATTCAGCGGAGAGCTCAAGGGACTCACAGGCCGGTCTCCCTCCCGCCCCCACGCCTCCGAAGGAATGGCGATTAAGTGGAGAGCTACACCCGCAGGATGGTCTCTGTCGCTGCACGCCTTGACGCCGTGCTTGCCCGAGTCGACGAGCAAAAAGTGTCTAGGAAGTGTCTAGGAAGTGTCTCTGCACGCCTTGACGCCGTGCTTGCCCGAGTCGACGAGCAAAAAGTGCGTGTGGTGCGCGTTCAGCGGCGCGCCGTCCTTGGTCGCCTTGGTCGAGACCATGGTGGACGCTCCGCCGTAGACGCGCTCGAGCTTCTCCCTCTCGTTGATCGCCCCGAAGGGCGAGAAGCCTATCGTTCTCAACGCACCGCTCGTCGCGTGTCAGTTGATTCAGAACGGCGCGCCGAAGGGCGAGCAGCCGAGGATGGGCATTGAGACGCCGGAGGAGGAGAGGGAGGAGGCGACCAGCTTCATGACGCCGGTGTCCGTGCCGCCAGTGATCACCCACGCGTTAGCGGCGGAGGCGGCGGCGGTGAGGCCCTTGTCGAAGGCGCGCTGCAGGATCGGGTGCAGCTCAAAGTCGAGTGCGGAGCCGGTGACCGAGATGATGATCTCGGGCTTCTCGAGGCCCCAGAACTTTTCGACGAAGCGGGAGACTTGCTGCGGCGTGGAGGTGTCGGCGAGGACCTGCGGCGGGGGCCGGGAGGGGGGGGGGTGGGGGGTGGGGGTGCGGGAGGGGGGTGGGGGTGCGGGAGGAGGGCGGGGGGCGAGGCAGTCTCAGCCGGAGCGAGCGCTGTGTGTGTGCGCTGCGCACCAGAAACTTGGACTGCGTGTTGAGCTCCGGGAAGTTGACGTCGCCAAAGTCGGACGGGTCGCCGCCGGAGCGGCAGAGGATGGCGGGGCCGAAGCAGCGCATCACCGCGTCCGCGTGCACGAACCGGTCCTGGATCAGCTGCGCCGCGCGCCTAAATGCCGGAGAGCGGTGCCGCGAGGTGAGCGGCCGGCGGCGGCGGCGGCGGCGGCGGCGGCGCGGCCGAGGCTGCTGCTGCCACTGGCGCGCGCTGCGCTGCGCGGGTGCTGCGTGGGGTCTCGGTGGCTGTGCTGGCTGCCCAGGGTCCTCTCTCCTCTGCCAGGCGGCGTCGGCTTGGTGTGTGCAGCTCACCTGTGGATCTCAGCCTCGGGCAAGTTCTTCGTGTTGGCGTAGGAGAGAGCGCCCGCCTTGCGCCGCGGCGTCTCCGCCAGCCGCGCGTACGGGCCCGCGCCAATGCGGTCGGTGGAACGCATATTCGCTCCGCCTCCCGATGCTCGCGCCGCCTTGTTCCAGCCTTTGTCGCAGCAGGTGCGGTTTCTTTTTGAGCTAGACTTCGTTGTTAATAGGAACAAGCGAAGGCACACACGACCTTCGTTGTAAATAGTACAAACCCAATGCTCCCTTTCTTTTTACGGCTGTGCGAATGGAGCCTACGAACCACCTCGGTCATAGTTACAACAAACAACCCGACGTGGACGCGTTCAACATTGGCACGGGCGGCAGGCGCTTTTCTGGCGATGTCAAGGTTGTCTGCCCCCTCACCAGCAGCGGTGTGTGAGAGAGAGTTCTCTCACTCTCTTCTTGGTGCACACACACAGTAGGTAGGTAGGTAGAAAGGTGAAGAACAGCCAGGCTCGGACTGGACACCAACGCGGTATGGGTGGACGCTGGACAGATGATGACGGCACGCACGAGCGACACACAGACACAAACAAGCTCACAAGACACACAGCCAGCGGGCTGCCACACACCCTGAGTCGGCTTACACATAACTCAAGGCCATATCCTCCCTGTCGCCCCCCCCAGCACTCCACGGTGCCAAGAGTACAAACAAGGGCACAACGACACAACAGACGACAGGAAGTGACATGCGAGGCTAGAGCAGGCTTGCTCTACCTCCAGCAATCTCTCCGGCCGGCGAGGCACGGGCGAGACCGTGTGTGGGGTCTAGTGAGGTGTCTATGGACGCCCTCCTCAGAGGCTAGCTGCCTGCGGCTAGCCCTAATCTCGCACTCACAGGCGATGACAATCCAATGTGTGAGTGTATGCAAGCAGAGGCGCGTGTGCTAATTCTAGGCCGCACGTCGTGGCACTATGACGGAGGTAGACGTGCGACCGCAGCGCGCCCACCACAGTCTCGGTGGTGCGCGCGTGTTAGCGATAGAGTTGCGGGGAGAGCCATGCCCGACTTTTCGAAGGCGAGCCCCACGCCACGGATGCCAGCCGTGCCTTCGCGGCCGGGAGTCGTCTCACGAGCCGCGCCCCGTCGGCCTACTCGGGGACACACACACACACACACACACACACACACACACACACACACACACACACACACCAGCAGCGGGGAGCACGGACGGTCGGAAGGGCGCTTTTGTCGCTTTCGGCAACACCGAGGCGTTCTACCCGAACATGGTCGTGGGGCATGGGCCCTACTGCGAGCAACCAAGCAGGCAGTTACAGGCAGGCAGAGGTCGAAGGCCCTGTTTGGCATGTTGACGCAGGTGCTCGAGGGCACCGCCGACGTGCAACAGGGCACGGGCGGCAAGCCGGCAACCTGGAAAGGCCGCCGACGTCCTCAGCCGAAGCCTTCGGCGAGCGCTCGACGACGGGCGCCTTTGGCACCAAAATGAAGCACCTGCTGAAAGGAAAGAAGCCCACCCGAGGCCTCCTGCTGGACACGGACGTGCACGCGGACAGGTTCTCTGTGGTCGAGGGGCCACCGGGGGCTGGCAAGACCACCGTCCTGCGGGAAATCCAAAACGGCAACTCGAGCTGACCAGTCGTCAACACCACGCGGGCGGCCACTGCCCCACCAAGGCGTGGCTGTGGGTGGCGCCCACTCGCGATCTGAAGGCGGAGACCGAGCAGAAGCTCAGCAAGGCGAGAAGGTCAAGCAGGCGGTACGCCTGCACGCACGAGTCGGCGGTGCGCGCCCTCGCCGAGTCACCCGCGCCGACTATGCCCACGAGGAGGCCATCGTCGTCGACGAGTGCTTCCTCGTGGGCATGCAACACATATGGCTCTACGCCCACCTCGCGCCCTGCGCCGCGATCCTCATGCTGGGGAACAGGTGGCAGGTACAGACAATCGAGCCGTGGCTTGTGCCCAGAGTCCTCGCTTGATCTCTCCTCGCTTGATCTCTCCGGTTGGCCGCCTCGAGGTCCTCGCGGAGGCGTTCGACCGCCCCTCGCAGTAAGACGAGCTCGGCTAGCCCTCCCACGTGCAGGCTCGGCTGAGTGATGCATAATACGCAACGGATACGTAATGCGTAGTACATAGCCCTCTCCGGCGGGCTTTCGGCGCTTGAGGGAAAGGATACGTAATGCGTAGCTCATACTGTAGCACTCCCAATTGCAGGCGCCGCTGAGTGATGCATAATACGGATACGTAATGCATAGCTCATAGCGCCAATGCGACATTGGCAGCGCTGCACTGTTTGCTGAGACATAAGGCGAAAACATCGTACATATTGCATAAGAAACGCTATGGACTATGCATTCGCGCGACGTCTAACCCTGCCAATGCATAGGCAGGACACACGGGTGCATATAGGGCCGGACGGTACGTATACATAGCAGTACTGATAACGTCTCCTACATGTACGGCGGGCGGCGCGTCTGCGCCCAGGGGATCGCGCCTCCCACTGCGGCGGGGTTGAGCTTCCGCCTTGCCAGCGTCTCGTTCCAGGCCGCGCCGGCGTACGCGGACGTCGTCGATGCCGCCCGCGCTGCGGAAGGCGATGCTGAAGGAGAGAGGGGCAAGCCCCAGCTCCCGTTTCAGGGCGGGAGGAGGGCGCTCATGCGCGTTCATGCCACGCAACCCTTTGGGCAGATCGGTGGCGCTGCGGCAAAGAGAAGCGCGCGCTCTTCGCCCATCAACGGCTGGCTTCCCACCACACACCCGACCGGGCAGGGAATCTGAGGTGGACGTGGATCTTCCTTGTCGGAGTCACTATCGCATGTTCCAGGGGCCTCGTCGCAAGCCGCGCGCACAACGAGGTCATTCCACATGGGTGAGATGCGCTGCAGCGGGAGGAAGGAATCACGAAAGAGTCGGACCACCTCGAGCAGGAGGGTGCCCCGATCAGCGTCGCCCTGGGCCACGAGAAGGGAATCCCAGTGGAGGAAGTGATGCGTGATGAGCGCGTCCCGAATCGTGGGGTCTGCCTGAAAGTAGGCTCCCAAGTACCCTTGGCGGTGCTGCTCCTGCGCACACGGTTGGGAGAACCTCAACACAGTGTAGGAACGGCCGGAGAATGAAAGGCACACGCAGGCGCACCCAGTCCAGGACCACGAGTTGGCTGACGAAGCCGCCCTCGGCGCACAAGGCCACAAACGAGGCATTTGGCGTCAATGGCGAGGGCGTGACGCCCAGCGCCGCAGCGCGAGCAATCAGCTGGTCGTGTTCGATCGAGATGGCGCCACAGTAGGCATCGAGGCCAGGCGGGGACACAAACGAGTCTGTCTGCATGTTGTGCAAAGCTACGTTGACGAGATCATAACGGGCCCACGCAATCTTGTTGAGCCTACGATCGTCCACCGAGCCGAGGAGGCGATAGTAGCTCACCGGACCAAGCGTCATGTGCACCGCGAAGCAGCGGTGCATGACCTTGCGGAGAAAGGCGAGCGTCGACGAGTCAAATGGCGCATCGGACCTCAGCGCAAACGTCGCCGTGTAGGCCATGCGCAGGAACCGGAGGTTGATGGAAAACCATGGCAGCAGGTCTGGAAAGTCTTCCGGTTTTGGCCACAAGCCGTGGACGCCTTGAAAGAGGCTCAAGTCCTGCATTGAAAGCAGCGCCGTTTCAAGCTCATCCTCCAGCTCGCCAGCTGCCAGCTGCTGCGCGGCAAAAAAGTTGGGTCGTGCTGCGGCAGCGCCCGCAAGCAGGGAGAAGATTACACTTTGCTTCATGCGCGACAGCCTACGCACAAGCAGGTCGAGATCAGTGCCAGGGGCACGCGGCGTCTGTTTCGGGCTTGGGGTTGGAAGGGTCGAGCCTGAGAGAGTAGAGCTGCGCCTACGGGCAGCACGCCGCGGCGTGAGCGTCGCAACGACAACGTGATAGGCTGCCGACACCCTCGGTCGTCCACGGCGCTCGGACTGGAGCCGGGCGGCGACTCGCGAGCGAGCGAGCGGGCTTTGGCCGGCAGAAGGGCGGTCCGGCGCTGGCTCGTGCGGGACAAGGGTGGCGAATGGGCAGCAGCGGACGCGTCTCGCGGCTCCGCGATGGCAGTGGCCACCTGCGGGCGGGAGGGTGCAGGCGGTGTTAGGCTGAGGGGGGAACAGGCGAGCGAGGCGCATCGCTCGGCGGGAGCGGTGCGGGCACGGCGAGCCGCGAGCAATAGGCGTCGCGGGCGTCCAGGCGTGTAGCTTGCGGCGGCACCGGAGGTGCGATGCGGCGGGGCGAGCGCGAGAGGAACGGGGTTCTCTAAGGCTAGCCGTGGCCTTGGACAGGGGAAGAACACGAGGCGGTCGCCAAACCGCGCGCCGTGAAAAAGAAGGTAAGTTCATATTACCCAAAAGCTAGGCTACACAACGCCCTCTATGTTGGGTCAAGGCGGGCGCCTAGAAGAAAGCGCCGCCCCCCGAGGGGGAATCCCACCCGTACCCCGAGCCCCCGTCAAGGTAAGTTCGCCAGCTAAACTCCACACACACAAAGTGCCGTTCTCCCATCCCTCCCTTGGGTTGTGTGTTTTCTTTCTTTCTTTCTTTACACACAAAGTGGTGGGGCAAGACCCTCGCATCTCCACGCCCGGACATGGGCAGGAGCCCCACGGCATTCAAAGTGCAAGCACCGGCCCGGGCGTGTGTGTGTATCGCGCGCCTTGCGGGGGGGGCGCGGAAAAGAGGAACCTCTTAGCGCCATCGCCATGGTGCTGCAAGCAGCGCCGGGCGACGACGGCTTACCGCCTCCCGGTCCCCCTGGGCACACCTCCGCTGCTCAATGTTTGACGAGAGCGGCCGCACAGCACTGCTCGGTACCCCCCCTGCACACATCTAAAGTCATGGCCGACCCCCCCCCCCCCCAGCAGGAGCGCTCTGCTGCTGGGGGGGTCGGGACCCCACCCCCAGCAGCAGCGCTCTGCTGCTGGGGGGGTCAGACCCCCCCCCCCCTAGCAGCAGCGATGACTTTAGATGTGCAGGGGGGGTACCGAGCAATGTGCGGCCGCTCCGACTCGAACCCGTGAAGCTTCCCCGTGCGCGGGTTACCCCGCACACGAGTCAGCCTGCCAGCCACGCATCCACGCAAGCGTGGTCCGCGCGCATGGCATACAGGCGTTCGCTAGACAGCGCAGAGGCTAGGCGACCGGGGAAGGACTAGCTCAAGGGCAACACAGCGTCACCAGCGGGTCCCGTGAGGACCTCTCCGTGAGGACCTGACTGATGAGGACCTCTCCTCCTGAGAGTGATGCCCTCCTGCTTCCGCAGGGGCGTATTGGCTTTTGTCGCCGTGAATCATGTCCTAGAGCAAAGCAGAGGTCCCCTCACGGGCAGGTCCTCCTAGAGGTCCTCACCAGGTAGAGAGGTCCTCACACGTGCACCCAGCCTCGCCGCGACTGGCCGGCCGGCATATCCACAGAGCCGGCGCGGGCGCCCGCTCAGGGCGCGCACAGAGTGAGGCACGCGCAGAGCACGGCCGTAAGGAAGGGCAGGCCTGCTCACCCCCTCCGAGGGGGTGAGCGAACGAGATGATTGTGTTGCAAGCGCACACACTCTAGAGGAGACATATAGCATCCATACCATAATCTTTGTTGTTTTGTATGATGGTGCAGGTGGTTTGTGTTGCCGTCTCGAAGAGCCCCGGTTGTAAAATTCTCTTTTTCCAGTGCCAGTGCGCGCTAGTCGTAGTCCCGTGCCTAGTGTCGTGCGAGGGAGTTTATTTTTAAAATTCTCTTTTTAGTGCGCGCTAGTCCCGTGCCTAGTGTCGTGCGAGGGAGTTCTTTGTAAAATTCTCTTTTTACTAAAATTCTCCCGCGGGAATTCTTTTTTCCCCGATTCTCTCTGCTTCGCCTGTATCGCGAGGCGGTCGCCGATGCACAGCCCCACTCGCGACGCCACCTGCCGTAACAGCTGCACACTCCGCCCTCGCCTCACGCCCAGGCCCGCCCCGCGCCTCACCGGCGCCGCCCGCTCTCTCCGCAGGCCTCTTCGCCCGCAGCCATGTGCCGCGCGCCGGAGTGGCATCAGGACGACAAGTTCTCGATCGAGCAAGAGTGGCCCAAGGACGCCAAGTTCCCCGACATCGTCATCGACCAGAAGTACCCCTCGCTCTCCCAGATCAAGGCGTGGATCCCGGCCAGCTGCTTCGAGAAGTCGACCGCGAAGTCGATGTATTACTTCGTGCGCGACGCATCGTGCATCCTCGGCACCCAGGCCGCCATCCTTGCGCTCTGCCGCAGCGCCGCCTTCGCCGCGCTCCCGCTGCTGGTCCAGTACGCTGCCCTCTGGCCGCTGCAGTTCGCCTCAGGCTCGCCTCTCGGCCGGGGCTCTGGTCCCGTGCTCCGCCTTGCTGACGCAGGCCTCGCTGCGAGGTAGGCTTCTTCATGTGGTGCATGTTTGTTGTCGGGCACGACTGCGGCCACACGACCTTCTCCCCCTCCTCCGCCGTCAACGAGATCATGGGCGAGGTCTCGCATTCCGTGCTGCTGTGCACGCCCTTCGCGCCGTGGCGCCGCTCGCACCACAGGCAACCGACAGACAAAAGCGGCCTCCAGCCCCCTCTGTCCCGACGTCTCCCCTCGCATTGACCACCTCTGCGCACACTCGAAGTGGCCTTGTCGTATGGAGGGGAGAGCTAGACCCATCACCCAGTACCCCCTCCGCCCGACCCGCGGGTACTCCCCCTCTCTCCCCCATCTGCCCCCATCTCCCCCCATCTCCCCCTATCTCCCCTATCTGCCCCCATCTCCCCCTACCTCGCCCTGACAGGCACCACTCTTACCACAACCACATCAAGGAGCGCCTGCTGCCGCGGCTCCTGCCTCCCGGGCGGTGGTTGGCGGCGTCTCTTCACACCCTCCCCGCTGTGAGCAGGAGGACTACTCTCACATGTGGTTCACGGAGTCGCAGCAGCACAAGATCATGCGCATCCCGCACCTCGCCTTCCACTACGCCATCCGCGTCGCCACCCCCCTCGTCAACTGGCCGCCTCTTCCTCCACGCCGGCCAGCCCGACTGGCAGCGCGTGGCTCACACTCCGCTGGCTGGACGGCGGTAGGTTCCTCTACCTGTACGTCGGCCAGCCCGACGGGGGCCACTTCCTCCCGCTCTACGGCCGGCTCTGGAAAGACGCGTCTCTCGGCGACTTCCTGCGCGGCTACGCCTCCTCCGCCGTCTCCGCCGCCAGCATGTGCCTGTGGTACCAGGTCTACGGCGACTGCGTGGTGCGCGCGTACTGCCTGCCGCGGATGCGAGTTCGCCATGGACGGGTCTTTCACTCTGCAATGCTCAGGTGCGCGCGTACTGCCTTCCTTGGATGTGGTACGGCTGGTGGCTCTTCACAGTCACCTTCTTCCAGCACCACTTTGACGAGATGTTGCTCTTCCGCGACGGCGCGTGGTCGTACGTGCGCGGCGCCTTCGAGACGATCGATCGGACGTGCGGCCTCGGCATCGAGGATTCGGGCGGTGTGAACGGCGTCTCTTCACACCTCTAGCTGTGCACAGGTACGGCTTCGGCATCGACGACTTCCACCACAACATCACCGACGGGCACGTCATGCGCCGCGTCTTCCCGCCGATGCCGCACTGCCACCGGACAGAGTGGGCGATCCGTCACCCGTCGTCGCTTAGGCACCATCTCTTCTTCACGAAGATCCCGCACTACCACCTGATCGCTGCGACCAAGGGCGAGATGCGGCCGAGATGCGGCCGAGATGCGGCCGAGATGCGGCCGAGATGCGGCCGAGATGCGGCCGCGGTCTAGCCAGGGCGGCAACACGGTAGTCTGAGTGAAGGTCGCGAGGCGCCCGCGAGGGGGCAGGAGTAGCCGCGACGGGTGATGCATGAGTGGCCACTCCTTAGGCATGCGCGAGGGGCTCGAGAGGGAGGGCTTCACCAACCTGTACAAGCACCGCTCCACCCCCTCCTTCGCCCTCGACATCCACACTTTCCTCCACCGCAACTGGTTCTGGGTCAAGGACGGCAACGTGGTCTCAAAGGTTCGCAAGGCGGAGTGAGCGCGCCTCGCCGCCCTGCCACGGCGGCCTCGCTCCCCTGCTCCTCGCGCTCTTCCGCAACCGCACTCCTCTCCCCCCGCCCCCACCCCCGCCCCCGCGGTTCCGCCTCTCTCACTGAGCGTTCGATCGCCATGGGGCGCGCCACCCGCTTGTTGTGGCGGCCGGGGCGCGGGGGGTTGTGCTCTGTCGAGCTCTGTGTACCGGCTACCGCGCGTGTAAGCAAAGGGGCACTCGCGCTATGCTCGGCGGGTTATAAATAAGTAAATATTAGTACATGAAAACGGATACTGGGACACACCCGTCCACTGTTGAGTCTAGATTTGTGGGGTCATAGAACACGAACCACCCACAAAGCACCCCACGCATGCTCAAAGGAGGATTCTCATGGCAGCGAGCGCGAGGCCGCAGCGTTCTCACCACTCTCTGGTGCTCTGGGGGAAAAAGGGAAAAAGACCTATGTGCGGGGTCAAAGAAAGTCCGCGGCGCTGCGGCCACGGAACCGCCGGCCCCGCACACGCAAGCGGACTGCAGCAGAGCTCAGCAACCCGCCGCGCTGTCGCCGTTGCTCTCGTCGCCCGTCGACGACTCGTCGCCGCGGAAGCGCGCGCCTTGCTCCCAGCCGTAGCAAGCTGCCGTCGCAACCTCGCGCTCTGTCCGGCACGCCTTGTGCGTCGGCGCGGCGGAGATCCCCTCCTCGTCGTCGCTGGCAAGCGTCGCTCCTGTTCACAGCCAGCCCCAATCAAGAGGCGCCGATCGCGGGCTCCGCGGCACCGCTGCCGCCGCGTCTCGCTCCTGGCGTCTGCCGCTTCGGGGACGGCTCGCCCGCCTGTCAGAGACAAAGACACACACAGTCCACGTCTGATGTCCCCTCTCCACAGCCACTTCTGAAATGAATCGGCGAGCGGCTCGCGCGCCTAATGTACTCTTAATTAGCTCTTAACTCGCTCTTAGTTCGCTGATAATTAAAGGAATCGGCGAGCGGCTCGCGCGCCGCGCACGCCAGCACGTCGAGGCTCGAACGCGCCTGAGGGACGTGTCGTGGACGCGTCTCAGGCGGAGGACATGTCGCCGACGCCAGCACGCCGACGCTCGAACGCACCGTCGCAGTCGCCGCCGCCGCCGCCGCCGCCGCCGCCGCCGCCGCCGCCGCCGCCGCCGCCGCGGCTCCAGAGTCTGCAATCGGGACGCCACTTTGTGGCGGAACCGCCGCCGCCGCCGCTGCCGCCGCCGCCGCCGCCGCCGCTGCCGCTGCGGCTCCAGCGTCTGCGGTTATTGGGACGCCACACTTTGGCGGAGCTGGAGGCACCGCCGCCGGTTTTGCCGCTGCCGCTGCCGCCGCCGCCGCCGCGGCGGCCGCCGACGCCGCTGCCGCTGTGGCTCCAGCGTCTGCGGTTATTGGGACGCCACACTTTGGCGGAGCTGGAGGCACCGCCGCCGGTTTTGCCGCTGCCGCTGCCGCCGCCGCCGCCGCGGCGGCCGCCGACGCCGCTGCCGCTGTGGCTCCAGCGGTCACTGCCGGGACGGCAACGCGTGGCGGCACAAGCACCACCTCCATCGGGGCCGCTGGCTCAGTTGACGAAATCTCCATCGGCGCCGGCTCGGACGCGGCGGAGGCTGGCGCGAGTGGCGCACCCGCCTCCGCAAGCAGCGGCGCCGCTGGCCCCTCCGCTGCCTCCGCCCCTCCAGCCTTCAGCAACGGCGACACGAACAAGGCGGACGAGCGGCTCAGAGGGAAGCACGACGCTAACACCGCCCGCTGCGGCACCCCCGCCGATTGCGGCTGCTGCTGCTGCTGCTGCTGCTGCTGCTGCTGCTGCTGCTGTGCGGCGCCCGGCGCCGCCGCGACGGGCGACGACGGAAGTGGCGCGACGAGGGTCGTTTGGGCGGGCATCGTCGGCTTGGTTGGCATATGCGCTGCTGCGGGCTGCGCGCTGCTGCCGCTGCGGCTTGCGGGGGAAGCCCTGTGCACGGGCGGGAGGTGGGAAGAGACGCCGTAAGGAAGGGGCTGTCTGTGGGCGGGGGGAGGGTCGCTAGCTGGAAGGCGGCTAGATCTCGCTAGATCTCGCTAGATCTCGCTACACCTCGGCTACACCTCGGCTAGATCTCGGCTAGCTCTCGCTTGCTGGAGGACGGCCCGCGGTTCGGCGGCAGCGAACCCTGCACGCGCGGCTCCGCGTGGTGGCCTAATTAATTCTCAAGGAGCAGCTCACTAATCAGGCGGCAAAGAGCCCTGCACGCGCGGCTCGGCGTGCTGGCCGATGATGCCGGGGACAACGGCGCTGGCGGAGCTCGGGAGAGCGACAGGCTGGACGATGCCGCCGTTGTACGCGCCGCCTAATTAATTAAGTAATCTTTGATAACTAATTAATAACTAATTGGCTGGACGATGCCGCCGTGGTACGCGCCGCCTCGGCTGCTCGCCGTAGGGGGGGCGCTGGCCGGCTGGTGGGCACAGCAGACGGCGCCTGATGAGTCAACGAGGCATGCAGCTCGTACTTTGAAGTCATGATCGCCGGCTGGTGGGCACAGCAGACGGCGCCCGACTGCATCGGCGGCGAGAACGCCGGGACCTACGACGAACTAGCAGCCGTCGCTGACTGATCCAACCAGTAGAGTGGTAGCTTCTGCAGCGAGGAAGCGTGCGCCGGGGGGGCGGCGGGGGGGCGGTGGAAGGTCGGCGACCCGCCTCCTAAGAAACACATTCTGATTGAGAACTGGGAATCAACCAGCGGGTGGACATTGGCGACCCGCCTCCTTGCTGCACGAGGAGCTGGGGTTGCGGCTGCAGCGGCTGCGGCTGCATCACGTACGCAGTCTGCGGGTGGGGAGAGTACTGCGGCGGCTGGAAAGAGCGCGGCGACTGCTGCGGCAGGTAGACGGCGGAGCCGCCTAGGAGGAGCGAGCTCACTCACCTTGACTCCTCAGCGGACTGATTGATGGAGGTTGTCGGCGGCGAGCGCGCCTAACAGCAACACGCTGGCTCGCCTCGTCCACACCCCCCCTACCTCCAGCATGTGGGTGGGGAGGGAGAGGCGCGCCCCACGGCAGCTGCTGCTGCGAGTATGAGGCGGCCCACTGCGGCGCCTAGTTCGTGAATGTTTAATGGTGACTAGACCTAATGAACAGCTGGCGAGGAGGCGGCCCACTGAAGCGCCGCTGCAGCAGACTCGAGGCGGGCGAGGCGTGACTCGAGCTGCTCGCTGTGCGCCGCCTAATTAGTTATCAGTCATTGATTATTAAGTAGCGAGGCGCGACTCGAGCTGCTCGCTGTGCGCCGCCTAATTAGTTGTCAGTCATTGATTATTAAGTAGCGAGGCGCGACTCGAGCTGCTCGCTGTGCGCCGCCTAATTAGTTATCAGTCATTGATTATTAAGTAGCGAGGCGCGACTCGAGCTGCTCGCTGTGCGCCGCCTAATTAGTTATCAGTCATTGATTATTAAGTAGCGAGGCGCGACTCGAGCTGCTCGCTGTGCGCCGCCTGTCGCGACATCATCGCCCCGAGCTGCGCCATCTGCGGGGGAGGAGGAGGGGGCCGGGGGTGGGGGGGTGGGGGGGGATAGGAGGGGGCTGGAGGGGGGTGGTGCAGGGATGGTGCAGGGACGATGCAGGCGAGGGAGGCAGAGGGTTCGGAGGGCCGGCGCGCGTACTGGCTGTGCGGGTGTGGGTGTGTGTGGGTGTGTGTGGGTGTGGGTGTGTTGGAATCGCCTGGCCCTGGATCGACTGGAGCTCCATGGTGATTTTCCCGAGGCCGGCCCTCGCCTGGAGAGAGAGAGAGAGGAGGGGGCGGGGAGTGTGGGGAGGCGGGAGGTTTGGGAACGGGCGGAGAGCTCTCGCCTGGTCGAGGCCGATGGCGAGGGCGGCAACCTGGGGGCGCCGGAGGAGGAGAGGTGGGTGGAAGAGGAGCGAGAGGCCACGCGCGGGCGTCAGCGCCACGCCGCTCCGGCGCAGGCTCCCTGCCGGGTGTGTGTTTCGGCGGTTTTGACGGCAAGAGACGGGTGCGGAATGCGCGCCTTGGCGTTGTCCAAAACGCCGCGGGCCTCGGCATCGGCGTCGGCCGACGCGGGCTGCTGCTGCTGCTGCTGCTGCTGCTGCTGGCCCTTCGCAGCAGACGGCTCCATTACGCCTCCGGGAGAGCTTCGAGTGCCTGCGCGCAACAACAGCAATGGGCGTTGTTTTTCTTTTGAGAGCGCCTTCGTTGTTTGGAGTGCTGGGGGGGGCGACAGGAGGAATGTGGCCCTGAGTTATGTGTACGCCAACTCAGGGTGTGTGGCAGCCAGCTGGCTGTGTGTCTTGTGAGCTTGTTTGTGTCTGTGTGTCGCTCGTGCGTGTCGTCATCATCTGTCTTGCGTCCACCCATACCGCGTTGGTGTCCAGTCCGAGCCTGGCTGTTCTTCACCTTTCTACCTACCTACCTAATAGTACAAACCCAATGGTCCCTTGCGAGCGGTCCGTCGTCGCAGTCGCACACACTCACACGCCACGCCTCACCGCGCGCCCACCCGCTGCCCCGCCCAGGCGGGAAAGAGATGAGGAGATGGGACAGCAAAGGAGGAACCCCAAACACGTATGGGAGGGTTCAGTAATGCGTCACGCTGCCCGGCGTCTCTCACTTTCCGGGACAGCCCCGCCCTTGTGAGGCAGGAAAGTGACGGCTACCCCGTACGCCCTGGTGCTGCTACCCCGACGCCGACCGCCCATTTTAGCCTAAGCACGCTTTTCTCGCCAAGTACTATCTATATTCTTTTGCTTATATTCTCGCCAGACCATCTATATTCTCGAGAATATTCTCGAATATTGAGAATATTTTCCCCACGCGAGAGGTCAGCGGACGCCAAAAATCGCTCTAAAGTAGAGGTTTGTGCTCCCAAACCGCTCAGGAACGTCCAAAACTTAAAGATTTCCGTCTGCATCGACCCAAAACCTACTGTTGAGGGGGCAAAAGAGCTGCTTCGAGAAGCTGTAGTCAAGACCGTTATAGACGCCGCGATGTAACGTCGAGAATATTCAAGAATATCTTGACACTCGAGGTCAACCAAGGTCAAGGGCTGAAGAAATCTCGTAGATTCTTGAGAAAAAGCCGCGCCGGGGCATCTATATTCTCGAGAATATTCTCGAATACGAAAGTGCGCGGGACCATCTATATTCTCGGAGATATTCGAGAATATTGTGCTTAGGCCAACGCCCATTCCCCCCTCCTCGTTCCCCCCTCGAATTCTCCGGACCCCGACAAGCCTCCCGACGTTGGGCCCCTGCCCCGCACGCTCCCGCCCCTCTGCCCCTCACACACACCCAGGCCCGACATGCACATACAAGACAAACCCGGCGTCCTGCTCTCAAAAGAAAAAGAAAAAAGGGAATGAGGAGACCAGCGGGGGAGACTCCCCGCCTATGCAAGCCCCAGAGAGGGGCCGCCATCGCCGAAGCTGTGCCAAAGCATAACTCCAAAACCCGCAGCGGCCCAGGGGGCCTTGGGGGCAGCCTGCCGGACCGCCGCTGCACGGGGCTAGGCACCAGAAGATGAGTGGAATTGATGAATTGGGCCGTTGTCCGTGCCTCCCCTCTATACGTCAGAGTGGGACCTACGCCGCGCCGGGTAAGGGGCGCGCCCGGTCCTCGACGGAGCCGCGCGCCCCAAACGACCCAGGCGGCGAGTAGTCGTCCTCGAACCTTCGACATGTAGTTGCCCATAGTTAGCGCCCGCCCGCCCCCCCCCTCCGTCGCTTCGCAAAAGAAAAAACAAAACAAAAACAAGCAAAAGAGAAAGCGAAGCCAAAAACGATTGCGTAAACGGCGTCACAAAGCCCGCCGGTTTTGATCGACAATCGTGAGATTGACCGCCGTCGACCAGAGAATGGCAGACGATGCGTCAGCTTGTGCGGCGCTCGCGCCGCGCAGGCTGGCCCATCGAGGGCACTCTCTGGCGCTGTCCGGGCCAAGCGCGGCGCCGCGCATGCTGCGTGCCACTCGCCGTGGCTTGCGGTGCAGCGCCACTGCAGCCTCGAAAACGTCGCGCACAGCACCAGCATGCTGCCCACCAGGCAGCAGAGTGCTGCACCGGCGTGCAGCGGACGCTGCTGCGCTGCGGCGTCGCCTCCCCGCCCTGTCCACGGAGCAGACGAGCGGCGGCACGGCCCTCCACCAGCTGCAGGAGTTGCGCACTTCCCAAAGGAAGCACAGGATGCTCCCGCAGTTTACGCAGCTTTGTGCAGCGCAGCGCACGGGCCACGCCACACAAAGCCGACCCTCAGCCTGGCCAAGAGGCTGTCTGCGGAAGGCCTGGCAGCACGTACGCGCCTCCTCCGCGGCCATGCCCTCCGCCCGGGCGAGCGAGGAGCGAGGACACAACCGTTTCCGGAATCGTGTGTCCCCGCCCCCCGCTTTTTTTTTTCTTGTTTCTTCTTTCAGACGCCGGCGCTGCATGGTGGCCGCTGCCTTGGGCAGTGGCCACGGTGGCCGACCCAGGGCTCCTACGCGGCTACAGCCGCGCGCGACCGCTGCCGCTGGCACCGGTCGCGAGGACTCTGGCTCGGCATGCGCGCCACCGGCCGGTGGGCCGCGCTCCGCAGAACGACGCCTGGATGCAAAAGGCATCCCGGGCACGCTTCAGCAGAGCTCGGCCGGCCGGCCGCCGCGATGGGGCGGCGAGCACCTGGAGGCCCCTCCTGGCGCTGCTGCTTCAGCTCGACCGCCGGGCGCGCCGCGAGGCGAGCAGCTGCGAGGCGAGCAGCTGCGAGGCGAGCAGCTGCGAGGCGAGCAGCTGCGAGGCGAGCAGCTGCGAGGCGAGCAGCTGCGAGGCGAGCAGCTGCGAGGCGAGCAGCTGCGAGGCGAGCAGCTGCCAGGCGACCTGCTGCGAGGCGACGTCTGCCGCCGCGCTGGCCACCCGCTTCCTCGCCAGCCCCTTCTCACTCTCGAGGAGGAGCTCTGCGATGTGCTTGGCGTCAGTCTGGACGACGCCGACGTGGTTGTCCTCCGGGAGGCCCTTCGGCGGGTGGGGAACCAGAGCGAGCTGCGGCGGGCGGGGCCGCGAGGCGGCGGCGAGTGGCGGAGCGTTATGCGATGCGGCGGCTGCCAGGGCTGCGTCCACCCGCGACTCAGGTCCGGGTTTGACCTGGGCGCGCAGTGCGCTTCGTCTCCCTGGGGCAACCCTTTCCCCCTTCGCGATCCCCGCGACTCGTTTGGGCGCAGGGAGTGCGTCCGCGAGTTTGCTGCGCGCCTTCGGGCCAGCCCTGCTTTGTCGAGCGCGTCCGGCGGGAGCTCGCGGGTTTCTTTCTCGCCACGCTTGCGTGGGTACGTGGCTGGCAGGCTGACCCGTGTGCGGGGTAACCCGCGCACGGGGAAGCTTCACGGGTTCGAGTCGTCAAACATTGAGCAGCGGAGGTGTGCCGAGGGGGACCGGGAGGCGGTAAGTCGTCGTCGCCCGGCGCTGCTTGCAGCACCATGGCGATGGCGCTAAGAGGTTCCTCTTTTCCGCGCCTCCCCCCGCAAGGCGCGCGATACACACTCTAATAACCCCTGACTGCTGGTCCATGTGCATGGACCAAATTTGGAATGCTCTGAATTAGCTCGCTCGCCACCAACCCACAAAGAAAACATACAGCCCAAAGGAGGGATAGAAGGCACGCCGCCACCACACGTAGGTATGTATGTATGTAGAAAGATGAACAACAGTCAGGCTCGGACTGGACACCAACGCGGTAGGATTCCTATGGGTGGAAGTAAGGACACACGGGAGTGATCCCGCCGTTGCAACTGCCATGTCACGGCCGGTCGGCTGCAGCTCTCGCCTCGCTGGCGGCGCGGTCTGGTGCCGCGGTGCCCAGCTCTCCTGTGGGCTCGCGGCGGCTCGCCGCCGCGGTGCCAAACAATGTAATCGGTCCAGATTCGTCCCGGCGTGCCGCCGGTGCCGCTTCCTCGCCAATTTTTGGCTCGACCAGTTTGTCGACAAAGTTGTGCCAGAGCTCCTGCTGCTCGACTACGCGGCGGAACCGGCCCATCGCGGCCGAGAGGCGGTGCGCCGACACCGGGGCTACGGCTCGGGACCGTTTCCAGGCTCTCTCGAGCAACCTCAAATTTTGATGATTTCATGACCGCCACTTTGCTGCACACTTTGACCTCAACCCGCGGCGCGCTGCGCGGCTCCTCGAGCGCGAGAGGAGTCGTCTACGAGGCGACGGCGAGCGCAGGAGGCGGCGGCGCGGCGGCGCGGCGGCGGATCGCGGCGCAGACAACGGCAGGAATCTGCGGCAGGCTGCTGCCTGCTGCTACAGCAGCTGCTGCTGCTGCTGCTGCTCCGCCGCTGCCGATTGTGGACACGATTCCCCCGATCACCCCGCCCGCCCGCTCCGCCCCGCCCGCCCGCCTCTCCCCGCTTGCCCGCCCGCCCGCCCGCCCGCCCGCCCGCCCGCCCGCCCGCCCGCCCGCCCGACCGACCACCCATTCCCATCACCATCTCACATACCTTCATATAGGCGCTCGAGACCTCCTCTCGCTGCCTACTCGCTGCCTCGAGGGAGGAGGGGAAGACGTCGAGCTGAGCTTGCCTCGCTTGTACTGAGGCCCCTCCCCGAAAGGCAAGCATTAGACCCATTAAACCGAGACCCCTCCCCCCCCGCCCCGATCCCCCCACCCCCTTGCTCCCCTCCCCCCCTCGGGAGGGCCGAACTGAGGCGCCCGAGGGGACCCCGCAATTCCCTTCCCCCCTCGGAGGGCCGGACTGAGGCGTCGAGGGCCCCACTCTTTCCTTCGCATAGCGGCCACTCTTCGGATCGCTGGTCGAGCGACCCGGGGGATGCCCCGCGCGCCTGACCCAGGCGCGGAAACGAATCTGCGAGGCGTGGCCGCTCATGCGGCCCGATGGGGAGGAGGGGAAGACGTAGGGCGTGCTTGCGCGCCTTTCCGAGGCCCCTCCAACCCACCCGCGCTAGGTCTCGGGTTTGACGCATGGGGTCACTCCCGCGAAACCCGTGAACTAGCCGGGGCAGTCGGAGAAGGGGCAACTCCGTGCACTGACGGTCGGCCGTCAGAAAACACGCCTCCGTGGCTCGGGTTACACCAATCCTCGCTACCCAACGCGGCCAAAGGATATCCACCTCGAATAAATACAACGTACACGCCAAACGAGGGGTGGGAGAAGGACAGGGTCCCCACCTGCACG